GAATCCAGAGTTTTGAGAAGATTGGGGAAACTTAATTTTTTGCCCAAAAAAAAAACGTAAGGGGTACACTGTCGTTTTTTTTTTCGGGTCGAATTTTTTGAGTTTCGATATCTCAGCTCTGGAAGGGTCTAGAGCCTCCATTTTTGCACTCAGGTTAAGTCTCATGGCCCTCTATCAGAATCCAGAGTTTTGAGAAGATTGGGGAAACTTAATTTTTCGCCCAAAAAAAAAAACGTAAGGGGTAACACTGTCGTTTTTTTTTCGGGTCGAATTTTTGAGTTTCGATATCTCAGCTCTGGAAGGGTCTAGAGCCTCCATTTTTGCACTCAGGTTTAAGTCTCATGGCCCTCTATCAGAATCCAGAGTTTTGAGAAGATTGGAGAAACTTAATTTTTCGCCCAAAAAAAAAAAAAAACGTAAGGGGTAACACTGTCGTTTTTTTTTCCGGGTCGAATTTTTGAGTTTCGATATCTCAGCTCTGGAAGGGTAGAGCCTCCATTTTTGCACTCAGGTTTAAGTCTCATGGCCCTCTATCAGAATCCAGAGTTTTGAGAAGATTGGAGAAACTTAATTTTTCGCCCCAAAAAAAAAAAACGAAAGGGGTACCACTGTCGTTTTTTTTTTTGGTCGAATTTTTGAGTTTCGATATCTCAGCTCTGGAAGGGTCTAGAGCCTCCATTTTTGCACTCAGGTTTAAGTCTCATGGCCCTCTAGAATCCAGAGTTTTGAGAAGATTGGAGAAACTTAATTTTTCGCCCAAAAAAAAAAACAAAAAAGGGTACCACTGTCGTTTTTTTTTTTGGTCGAATTTTGAGTTTCGATATCTCAGCTCTGGAAGGGTCTAGAGCCTCCATTTTTGCACTCAGGTTTAAGTCTCATGGCCCTCTATCAGAATCCAGAGTTTTGAGAAGATTGGAGAAACTTAATTTTTCGCCCAAAACACAAAAAAACAAAAGGGGTACCACTGTCGTTTTTTTTTTGGTCGAATTTTTGAGTTTCGATATCTCAGCTCTGGAAGGGTCTAGAGCCTCCATTTTTGCACTCAGGTTAAAGTCTCATGGCCCTCTATCAGAATCCAGAGTTTTGAGAAGATTGGAGAAACTTAATTTTTCGCCCAAAAACAAAAACAAAAGGGGTACCACTGTCGTTTTTTTTTTTGGTCGAATTTTTGAGTTTCGATATCTCAGCTCTGGAAGGGTCTAGAGCCTCCATTTTTGCACTCAGGTTTAAGTCTCATGGCCCTCTATCAGAATCCAGAGTTTTGAGAAGATTGGAGAAACTTAATTTTTCGCCCAAAACAAAAAAAAACAAAAGGGGTACCACTGTCGTTTTTTTTTTTGGTCGAATTTTTGAGTTTCGATATCTCAGCTCTGGAAGGGTCTAGAGCCTCCATTTTTGCACTCAGGTTTAAGTCTCATGGCCCTCTATCAGAATCCAGAGTTTTGAGAAGATTGGAGAAACTTCATTTTTCGCCCAAAACAAAAAAACAAAAGGGGTACCACTGTCGTTTTTTTTTTGGGTCGAATTTTTGAGTTTCGATATCTCAGCTCTGGAAGGGTCTAGAGCCTCCATTTTTGCACTCAGGTTTAAGTCTCATGGCCCTCTATCAGAATCCAGAGTTTTGAGAAGATTGGAGAAACTTAATTTTTCGCCCAAAACAAAAAAAACAAAAGGGGTACCACTGTCGTTTTTTTTTTTGGTCGAATTTTTGAGTTTCGATATCTCAGCTCTGGAAGGGTCTAGAGCCTCCATTTTTGCACTCAGGTTTAAGTCTCATGGCCCTCTATCAGAATCCAGAGTTTTGAGAAGATTGGAGAAACTTAATTTTTCGCCCAAAAACAAAAAAAAACAAAAGGGGTACCACTGTCGTTTTTTTTTTGGGTCGAATTTTTGAGTTTCGATATCTCAGCTCTGGAAGGGTCTAGAGCCTCCATTTTTGCACTCAGGTTTAAGTCTCATGGCCCTCTATCAGAATCCAGAGTTTTGAGAAGATTGGAGAAACTTAATTTTTCGCCCAAAACAAAAAAAACAAAAGGGGTACCACTGTCGTTTTTTTTTTTGGTCGAATTTTTGAGTTTCGATATCTCAGCTCTGGAAGGGTCTAGAGCCTCCATTTTTGCACTCAGGTTTAAGTCTCATGGCCCTCTATCAGAATCCAGAGTTTTGAGAAGATTGGAGAAACTTCATTTTTCGCCCAAAACACAAAAAAACAAAAGGGGTACCACTGTCGTTTTTTTTTGGGTCGAATTTTTGAGTTTCAATATCTCAGCTCTGGAAGGGTCTAGAGCCTCCATTTTTGCACTCAGGTTTAAGTCTCATGGCCCTCTATCAGAATCCAGAGTTTTGAGAAGATTGGAGAAACTTAATTTTTCGCCCAAAACACAAAAAAAACAAAAGGGGTACCACTGTCGTTTTTTTTTTTGGTCGAATTTTTGAGTTTCGATATCTCAGCTCTGGAAGGGTCTAGAGCCTCCATTTTTGCACTCAGGTTTAAGTCTCATGGCCCTCTATCAGAATCCAGAGTTTTGAGAAGATTGGAGAAACTTCATTTTTCGCCCAAAACAAAAAACAAAAGGGGTACCACTGTCGTTTTTTTTTGGTCGAATTTTTGAGTTTCGATATCTCAGCTCTGGAAGGGTCTAGAGCCTCCATTTTTGCACTCAGGTTTAAGTCTCATGGCCCTCTATCAGAATCCAGAGTTTTGAGAAGATTGGAGAAACTTAATTTTTCCCCAAAAAAAAAACGTAAGGGGTAACACTGTCGTTTTTTTTTCGGGTCGAATTTTTGAGTTTCGATATCTCAGCTCTGGAAGGGTCTAGAGCCTCCATTTTTGCACTCAGGTTTAAGTCTCATGGCCCTCTATCAGAATCCAGAGTTTTGAGAAGATTGGAGAAACTTAATTTTTCGCCCAAAACAAAAAAACAAAAGGGGTACCACTGTCGTTTTTTTTTTGGGTCGAATTTTTGAGTTTCGATATCTCAGCTCTGGAAGGGTCTAGAGCCTCCATTTTTGCACTCAGGTTTAAGTCTCATGGCCCTCTATCAGAATCCAGAGTTTTGAGAAGATTGGAGAAACTTAATTTTTCGCCCAAAAAAAAAAAACGTAAGGGGTACCACTGTCGTTTTTTTTTGGGTCGAATTTTTGAGTTTCGATATCTCAGCTCTGGAAGGGTCTAGAGCCTCCATTTTTGCACTCAGGTTTAAGTCTCATGGCCCTCTATCAGAATCCAGAGTTTTGAGAAGATTGGAGAAACTTAATTTTTCGCCCAAAAAAAAAAAAACGTAAGGGGTAACACTGTCGTTTTTTTTTCGGGTCGAATTTTTGAGTTTCGATATCTCAGCTCTGGAAGGGTCTAGAGCCTCCATTTTTGCACTCAGGTTTAAGTCTCATGGCCCTCTATCAGAATCCAGAGTTTTGAGAAGATTGGAGAAACTTTTTTTTCGCCCCCCCAAAAAAAAAAACGTAAGGGGTAACACTGTCGTTTTTTTTTGGGTCGAATTTTTGAGTTTCGATATCTCAGCTCTGGAAGGGTCTAGAGCCTCCATTTTTGCACTCAGGTTTAAGTCTCATGGCCCTCTATCAGAATCCAGAGTTTTGAGAAGATTGGAGAAACTTAATTTTTTGCCCCAAAAAAAAAAACGTAAGGGGTAACACTGTCGTTTTTTTTCGGGTCGAATTTTTGAGTTTCGATATCTCAGCTCTGGAAGGGTCTAGAGCCTCCATTTTTGCACTCAGGTTTAAGTCTCATGGCCCTCTATCAGAATCCAGAGTTTTGAGAAGATTGGAGAAACTTAATTTTTTGCCCAAAAAAAAAAACGTAAGGGGTAACACTGTCGTTTTTTTTTCGGGTCGAATTTTTGAGTTTCGATATCTCAGCTCTGGAAGGGTCTAGAGCCTCCATTTTTGCACTCAGGTTTAAGTCTCATGGCCCTCTATCAGAATCCAGAGTTTTGAGAAGATTGGGGAAACTTAATTTTTTGCCCCAAAAAAAAACGTAAGGGGTAACACTGTCGTTTTTTTTTTCAGGTCGAATTTTTGAGTTTCGATATCTCAGCTCTGGAAGGGTCTAGAGCCTCCATTTTTGCACTCAGGTTTAAGTCTCATGGCCCTCTATCAGAATCCAGAGTTTTGAGAAGATTGGGGAAACTTAATTTTTCGCCCAAAAAAAAAAAACGTAAGGGGTAACACTGTCGTTTTTTTTTCGGGTCGAATTTTTGAGTTTCGATATCT